CTTTCTCACAGAGGTGATGCGGCTTCCCTCTGTCTTTTCTACAGATATTTTCATGGCAATTGCTCTGACGAGCTATTTTCACTGGTTCCCAAATTGCACGCATTTAAGCGTGCTACTAAGTTGGCATCTCGGTCCCACCCTTTCACTGTCGAAACTGTTAACTGTAACCGCCACTTCTACTCCAACGGCTTCTTCTCTCGCACTTCCCGTCTGTAGAACTCCCTTCCTCTTACTTTCTTCCCTGATAGCTATAATCTTCAAATATAATGTCAATCGACATCTTCTGATGCTTTGATCCTAATCCCCGTCCTTTCCTCAAACAACCCTCTTTACTCTTACTTCCACTCTCTGCAACCTTTTGCGTGCTAGTGGCACACCCGCTTACTTGTGGAGAAATGCTTACAAAGAAATACCTGACTACAGCAGAGGGGAATAAAAAAAACTTGTAGCGTTGAGTTACTGAAAGAGAAATAACTGAAACAGATATCTAGAACAGTGTACTCCGGTTCGGTTCGAAATTCCAATCACCTGAAGAAGGCAGGAACGTACAACGGCTGAAACGTCGTGTACTTGACAAGAAAGATGAGAACAACAGTCCGAACAATTTAAATAGTGTATGTATGTATGTGTGTGTATATATATATATATATATATATATATATATATATATATATAATAGCTGGCCACTCGTAGAGATTTTCCAAGCGTAGCTTAGATGTGGCACAAGGCCGAAAGTATGGGGCATCCATTGAGGATCGAACTCACTACTCAGTCGTAATTCTTTTAGCGAGACAAGCTTGCTAACCATTACACCACCTCGAAGTGCCCTAGCTGGCCACTCGTATTTGATGATACCAGTCTACTAGGGCGGCTATCCAATCCCTAATTCAGACGCTCAGGCACATTAGTGTTTGTTCAACAATCAAAGAGCCAAACTGGGGTTTATACTACAACTATTCTGAGCAGACCTAAGTTACAGTTTCTTGGAAAGAGCGTGTTATCTAGCGTGATCAACAATCTGAACAAGACCAGCACACTCAAACCCTCGGTCACGATGACTTGTGACTTCGTGCTATCACAGCGATTAACGGTCCCCCAAGTGTTCCGTCTACCCAATTTCACTCAAAAGACCTGGGTCAACCCGTGGTATGGTTTTTAGACTCTTTCCAAATGTGCCGCACGCTCGGATCCAGAAGTCTCCTTTTGACAAATCGACCATGGTGAGGTTCGAACCTGGGTCCCATGCACAAAAAGCGAACGTCCTAATATATATATATATATATATATATATATATATATATATATATATATATATATATATATATATAAATATGTGTGTGTGTGTGTGTGTGTGTGTGTGTGTGTAATCGTCTGCGTGAATATAAATGTAACTAATCGATCTCCAAGAAATCGACTGGATTTTTAACGAATTTAAAATAGAGCCTCAAATGCAGATGTGCACATGTAATGCTAGAAAGTTCACTTGATCTACCCTTTTGGGAATGTCTCGCTCTTTAAATGCAATATGAAAGATGCAGACGGAGGACGTACTTCTGGAACAGGACTTTGGTTATTTCCACCCACCATAAGGAAGCTGAGCGTCGATTTTTATTTATTAAGATTAGCTTAGTTTGGGAGCATCTAGTTAAGGATTTGTAGGAACATTATCCCTAATTTAAAAAAATAAAAAAAAAAATAATTTAATGACCTATACATGAATCATACCATTTTTTTTACAATCATCATAACTCAAAAGCAGCAGCCCATAGAAACAACCAAACACCCACGCAGACCGCCCACGCGAAAAAGTCTTTGTGTCTGCACAACCAGACATATAAAAACAGACCACATTTTATTTAGATAGCAGTGTTGACAGTAGTTTTGAACCAACCGGTCTGAGGTCGAACATACGCTATTCAATGAATCAAGTAACAACTACACAATGAAACGAACCACGACTGCTCAATGAATCTAACACATGCTACTCAATGTACGAACTTTCAACTTCAACACAGTAAGTCACTTATAAATTTTACATGAAATAAATATAAGATTTAAACATTACTCACACAAAAAAGACATTTTCCTTTTCCCTGTAATGTCTTGTATGAAGAGATTTTTATATAAAATTGCATATAAAATCTAATTGTTATAAACCTTCTTTATAATTATTTGTGCATTTTCAAAGAGTTACTCCGAATAAAGTTGGGTTAATCATTCCTCAAATATTGACCCCCAACAAATTTGGGTTAACTATTTCTTATTTCTTGATGGAGTTCTGAGACTCAAATTATTTTGTAATTTGAGTTGACAAATCATTTCCTCGGATCGAACTCAATATTCTTTGTAGTATTAGTCGAGCAGACTCACTCGCTAAACATTACTTCTTCCCGTGTCGACCGTGTTTATCTTATTAACAGACGCTTCATAATATTCAGAACAATACGAATCGTGCAGCCGCCATGTTTAGCGAATTAGTCTCGGAATGTAGTTCTTTATACAAACACTCCATATTTGTCGTAGCGTATCAGAATAAATTAATCTGGATAAATATCTATTTCATTGTAGTGATAGTAAAAATGCATTATTACTTGGCCCCACAAATTAATAAGATATTTAGTGAAACCCCTCTTAATGCCATGTGACAACTTCTAAATCTACAATAACTCCTTACATAATCTATACTACAAACAATACCCACTAACCAAGGCAACGTAACCCTTGCTTGGGGTGAAACGATGAAAAAAAAAACAAACTAAGTAACATGCCCCACCCCTCCCGAGAAAAGTGTCTAATTTCATTTTCGTTGAAAAAGGACACAGGAGTGTCTGAAAATTCCGATTTTAAACCTCTTTTCCCATCATGCACCTATTTGGTCCAAAGGCCTAATAATATACGATAAACATTATTATTTTTATTATCATTTTTATAGTTGGTATTATCCTTTTATATCTCGAATTTCTTTTCATCGAACTGCTGCTTTATGGAACAGACTCCCGACTGGATGTTTTCCTAATCACTAAAATCTTGACCTCTTCAAGACGAAGGTTACCTTTCCTGTATTTTCCTTCACTTTTCTTACGCTCATACGACACTACACAGTAACCCTCTACTTTGAGTAGCTCTTGGGCCTTATATTCACCGATCTCTTCACTAAGACAGGATATGACACATTGTCAAGAATTGCTCAGTCCTCGCGACCACTGTCACGCTAGGATCAATATTACACCGACCCAGCCACTCTTAGTGCAATGAGGTGCTGCCGTCGGGTTGAAATCCCCAGGACTGGGCGTCCTGAGTATGACGATAAACTATATCAGGCAGCAAGGCCTCGCATCAAAAGATTGGAGGTTTTGAGGAGCATGGAACCACTTCTTGACTGATGTTGTTTCACCCTGAGAAGGGTGGTAGTACCTGTTAGGGTCCCAGCTACTACGCCTTCATCCCAGCAAAAAGGTTTGGAAAATGGGGAAGGGGGCTTGTATTGGGTGAACATTAGTATAAAAATAAGTCCCCGTGTTACGACGATTCGTGATTACCATGCAATTTCCATTAATCGTGTTTCGACTTATGTCGTATGTCTCGTACATACGACTGTAGACATACACATATTCATCACCATTGACCTTGGTTTGTTGTGTTTTTATGTACTTTAAAATATGTGCATGCGTGTGTACATTTTGAGTTTACCTGTAAGAGATGAAGACATTTTCTTTTTTAAGCTATAAGTTGGTGAATTCCCAATAAAAAAGAAAAACACATTTGTTTTTCTTTATTCTCTACATTTTTTTAAGCAATTCACCCCAAGCAAGGCGGGAGTGCCACGAGCACGCAAGGGGTTACAGAGGATTGAGAAGAAGAGTTAAGAGTCGTGTTTGAGGAAAGGGTACAGAGAAGGAGGGGAACAAGATCAGGATATTAGATATCGATTGAGATTACACTTTAATATTTGAAGATTATAGTCATCGGGGAAGCAAGTAAGGGGAAGGGAGTTCCACAGACGGGAAGTGCGAAAGAAGAATCTGTTTGAGTAGAAGAGACGGCTACATTTAACCGCTTTGACAGTGAAAGGGTGGGACTGAGATGCCAGCCTAGTAGCCCACTTGAATTTATGCAGTCTGGGAACCAGCGAAAGTAGCTCGTCGGAACAGTTGCCATGAAAATACTTGGAGAAGTGACATAAGGAAGCCACGGCACGTCTGTGAGAAAGTGACTGTAGACTAGATGCCAGATCAGGACCTATCACATTGCATATTCGTCTCTTGATTTTGTCGAGGATCTCGAGACGTACAGCGGGAGCACCAGACAATATATGACAGCAATATTCAATATGCTGCTGTTTCTGAAAATTGCAAAAGAAACAAAAATTTACGCTTTATCTACCGAGAACCAATGACATCACTGGCAATAGATATATAAGCAGCTTAAAGCAATTTCATTTCATTATATGTATTATTTTCATTTCATTTTCTTTTCATATATGTTATATTTATGTCATCCATTTTTTTAGTCCTAATTATGTCAAGATATGTCATCTTTTTTAGTCCTAATTATGTTAAGATATGTCATAGAAATGTTTCGTTATGTCCTAGATTATTACTTTAATATTGCTCTGAATAGGTGAGTGACGTTAAGTGGAAATTCGCAGGTACGTTCCGATTTACACGGAAAATCACGTTACGAAGCATCATTGGAACGGAACTCTGTCGTAAGTCGAGGACTCTCTGTATATATTTAGCTTGCGATGATATTCCTTATGTACAAAACAAAATCTATCTTTGTGATTGGTTTTCTACCGCGTCTTAAATGTAGATATTTCGATAAACTGTATAAGTATTTTATTATTTTTCACAATTCGTTTAACGTTGATAATGAGAGCGCTTATCCACACTGTAATATGCAAGTAAATATTGTAATGTAAACGTTGCTGATGCAAGGCACAGCGTTATATACTATTACGCTATGAACGGCTTGAAATAAAACTTCCCACTCGACGGTGAATGGCTGTACACAGAAGCCTTCCTATCGATCCAAGAATAATCGATAAGAAAGATTCTTTCTCCATTACCATTGCACACAAACAGAATCCACAAATACGCATGCGTACAATATTGTGAGCAATTAGTTCTTGCCATCCATTATTGAGGCCAACGAAGAGTACAGCTTCGTTAAAACCATTGAAGTCTTGCATCCGTCTTCGTTTACTCTCTTTCTTTCACTTTTCTCTCGGATATTTTCGCCACCAGCGGAATGATTCGGCCAATTCCGCGGAGGCGGCATCTTGGTGCATTTAAGAATGAGAAAAGAAATAAAAGTTACTAACGTCCCACGTTCACAAATAATGATTTAGAAATAGTAGTGAACTTCCTATTGTCTTTTTCTGTTCATTTTTTCCCACCCACAGCTTCTTGTTTATTTTCGTCACCTTCGATAATAGACGCTTTCCTTCTTTTTTTCTTTCTTTCTCTGTTTTATTATTTCTTTCTATCCTTTCTCTTGTTCCTTTTACTTCTCTCTCTCTCTCGTATCTTTCATACTTGTTACTCTGTCGATTTCTATTGCTGTGTTTCTCTTCGATCTTAATTTTTGTTTTCTTTCTCTCTTGCTTTCTCCCCCCCCCCGCTGCATTTCTCTTCTGAATTAAGTTCTTTTTCTTTCTTATTTCTTTCTCCTGCATTTCTTGGCGTGTTTCATTTTCTTTCTTTTATTATTATTATTCTTTATGTGTTTTCTTTCTTATTCTTTCGATTACACTCTTTCACGAGAACAAATCCAAAGTAAGAAGAGAACATAGGTATCGATAAGGTTGATGATATTATCAGGCCATTTTATTGTTAACAACATATTTAAAAAGGGTCACTAACATTAACATATATTAAAATGCAACAGATGCACACATGCATCCAAACTTAAACATCTCTCTCTCTCTTTCTTTCTCTCGCCTCTCTCTTCTCTCTCTCACTCTCTCTCTCTCTCTCTATATATATATATATATATGTGTGAAAAGTGTGTGTCTGCGTACTTCATTGGGAGTATGAACATACATCAATGTTTGCGTTAGCACGATGACATCACGACGACGTTCCCCCCTCACTTCCATAATAAGACCAATACACGCAATCTACATAAACCCAAAACTTAAAAAAAATGAATCAGTTTGTCTGACGATCGCATATATTTGTCGCGACAGCCATGAGCCGCTCCTTAGAAAAACGACTTTGACCTTCACAACACCTGATCTCGCAGATTAAAGTCTAGTAGCATGCGAGAAACTGGACGATTGGCCAATATGGTTGACTTCAAAACCGTACCCCGTGAACATCGGATTAGGCAGCGATTCCCAAACATCGAACAACATGGGGAGTAATTTTGATATCTATGGTTTTCTACTCCCTCCAGCCAGGGAGTACTTGAACAAATCGTTCCACATATTGTAAGCTCCTTTTTTCTTTTCTTTTTTTTTTTTTCGTCTAAATCCGAGCTGCTCGGCCTGGGGGCCTGGATCAAAGCTACCTTTGTGAGCTTCCGGTGCTTTGTCGAGAGAATACTCTTCGGCGTGATCCCAAATTCCGCGGTCGATCCGCCCTGAAAGACGTATCACCTCTCTGAATCCAGCTTCGTCAAGTGTTATACTTCGGCGCGATCCTGTCTCCGCGGTTGATCTGCACTGGAAGTCATATCACTATTCTGACTCAGCCCTGTTTAGGCACTTCGCCTTTGTCAAGTGTTACACTTCGGCGCGATCACGTCTCCGCGGTTGATCCGCCCTGTGAAGTTGTATCACTACTCTGACTCGGCCCTGTTTAGCGACTTCATCAAGTGGATATGTGCATGTTTTAATGTAACACTGCATAAGATAAATAAATATTTACGGCTCTACTTTCTGTATTGAGCACTGTTTTTAAAGTAATGTTTTGAACGCTGTAATCCTACAGTTCGTTCTCCTAAGGAATTGATATTAAGTTAATGTCTCATTAAGTCCTGTTAGCGAAGTGATTTCGCTATCAATCACATTAACATTGTTATTTAATTCTTTGTAAAGCTTGTTTCTTTATGATATAAAATATAAGCTGCACATTCTAATATATTTACGATATCAGATCCGCAGCACGGTAAAATTTTAAATTCTGTGGAAAACTACTAAGACATTTTTACTCATCTAATTGGATTATACTAAGTCCATATCTCTTTAACAGATAAACACATATAACAAGAACATTTCGTGGATTAAACACTTTTCAAAATTCAAACAAAATTCTCACTTTGAACAAGAACTCTAGCGTCGTCTCATCGCACGCTCCAACTGTCAATAAATAGCATAATTAAAAAAAAAAACATCTTTCGGTCTACACATATTTCGTCTTAGTATTTGCCTATATATAAGAAAACTGTGTTCGGAAGATGACAATTTGAAATTGTCGAAAGTACTTGGCATATGTCTGCCATCTGACACCAACTCGAATATAAGGATCTTATTATTCAAGGAATTGATAATACGTCAGTGTCTCATTAAGTCCTGTTAGCGAAGTGATTTCGCCATTAATCACATTAACATTGCAATTTAATTCTTTGTAGAAATTTTTTATGACATATATATATATATATATATATATATATATATATATAAAAGGATATAAGAAATAATAAAAAAAACGACATTTTTACTACTTCAAACGTTATTATTTGTAGATAGCCGTGTTTGAATAGATTACCTTCTTTTTTTTATTACAGTGTCTATTATGTCTACCGACCTGCGCATTCGACTCTCCGGCAGGCTTCGAACCCGCGTCCCTCTTTACAGGAAACCACCGTCTAATATATCAATATAAAATATAATATAATGCGTAGTGAGTTGTGCGTTAAAACACACACGTTAAATATATATATATATATATATATATATATATATATATATATATATATATATATATATATATATAATGTAATCAATAATAAATAATGAATAAAAAATGTTAACAACACTGTAGAATAGGCACAGAACTGCATTCGGATCAGCAATTATTTCCACTCAATAGCTTCTAGAATAATTTGAAACATAAATGTTACCTCCCACGCAATAACTGTTAGAATAGTACAATAGACCTACTCATAATGCACCATTAACCTGTATATATCGTCGAGCTAAAATGCAACACCCATAGGCTGAAAATTGCGTTTAAGCATGAGAAAGACTGTCGCCGCCGTGTGTTGACCTCAATGTCCACTTTTATATTTACACACGCTCTATTCCTGATAATGAGCACTTTAACCTATAAATATAACATATAACTCTAGTTTTATCACACACACACATATATATATGTATGGGTATGATAGAAAACATACATCTACACACATATACTTGCACATACATATAAATATATTTCTTCGTCGGGTGTTATAAATACAGTGCTCAATGTTATGTAACAGAGCTATAAGTATATATTAGTGAATATTATCGCACTCGATTAATTTATAACGTGCCTATATATAATTTTGCCTATGTAAGTATAAGATTGGTTCCAAACATATATAGTCCTGACCTATTATTAAATTTAAAACCATGGGTATTAGTTTACTTTAATTCTGATAAATATGGTATTTTATGCGAAAAAGAGAGTTATCCCCCTTGATACCTAACTTGTTGACTTAATTTCATTTTTTTTTTAATTCCTCGTCTTTTGAACTTAAGGATGAAATAAATTATAAATAATCAATTATAATATTTTAGGCAACAATAATTAAAAAACAAGATTTAACACACAAATTTAAATCATCACCACGAGAACGCGAACCTCATTACAGTTAGAATATACTCAGCACCTGAAGATTGCAAGACCGCATGAAACTCCGATTCGTGCTATCAACGTTGGATATTATGCATATTCACTAATATATATATATATATATATATATATATATATATATATATATATTTGAAACAGTACAGAAGCGTACTAAGGCATTAAAAGCAAGAAATTTTATATTGTAGGCCATGATAGATTTAAAACAAAAACACACACCAGTCGACCGGTTTCGTCCCCTCTCATCAGAATTGGGAACTAAAATCATGAGGAAAAGAAAAAGAAAAAGTCCGTCATGGATGATATGAATGAGTGGACAGGGAGAAAAAATTATTATAAACATTATACCAACAAAGAAGCTAGAAGCGCAGCACAGCAAGTCCAAGCAAACAATCTCTTTGTTTACAAAGAGAATGTTGCCTGGACCTGATGTAAAGCGTCTCCACCACCTTAAGATGGAATAAGAAGTGCGAACTGGTCAAAACAGAAAACCAGTTCACACTGAAATCCATCGCACAAGTGGGATTCTTTATAAAGTGATCCGCAATCGAAGACCCATACGTGCTACGAATGGTATCGCCTAAAGAAAATTTTTATATATATATATATATATATATATATATATATATAAGCAATAGACTCTCCAGTCATCTTTGATTTAACAGTATCTAACATGTTAGTTCTTAGAATTGAACTGTATCACGAACTACGCATATATAGTAAAGACTTGTGCAAAACCAACAGCACTTTTTACGTGCCAGAGTAGGCTTATCCTCTCAATTGCCTCTCTGTCTTCGGGCAGAGTGAGACTTGGTTGTGCTTCTGTCTACGGACAGAGATGCAACTGAAACAAAAAAATACTGAGAGGTGCCCGGTCCCGAGAAACAGCTGAAACATTGCACTAGAGAGGGAAGATCGGCACTCATACCGATGCAAGCGCAACCGACAGTTGCTGGGGCTGGGAAATTTTTGTCCCTGGTGCACACGATCGAGTTCCCCACATTAAACCCCACCTTGTTTCACATCCCGTCTCAGTTGGGAGACTAGGGTAAATACTACCATACTTTTTAGAAGAAGGGCAAACAGAAAACTGGTGTAAAAACAAATCATGACATACACTGAAACAATAGGGTTTTTTGAGTTTTTTTTTTTTTTGGCATGGGGAGAGGCTATCCTCTGTGAGTAAACCAGACAGTAATTTTTCGGAAAGGAGTTCCATTTTCAAAGATTTCTTTCAGTATTCGCTGCCAGTCACCTCTGAAATTGTATCAGTGCACCAAAGAGGCTCTTCATCGAGTGCGTGACGATCTTTGTCATCGTTTGTTGAAAGTCGGCTATATTGTGTTTGGTCTTTATGTGACATTCCACCATGTTTGTAATGTAACTACCAGTCGTAAATTAATTTTAACCAAAAGCTTAATCCTTTAAAATCTTCTCGAAGAATTACAACCATTTCAAAAGCAGTTTCTTTCCAAAGAAAAAAAAAAAAAGAAACACTTCACACACACACACTCTCTATTGTGGTTTATATCATCAAGAAAATTGCCAAAAATGCTTGTAAACACCTGGGAGAGGTGAAAGCCGGCGGAAACAGGCAGGCAGGCAAGAGCGTCCCCACCTACAAATTGGAATAGACTGAGATAGATAGATAGATAGATAGATAGATAGATAGATAGTGAACAAATTTAGATTGATAGAAACAGAGTGGACATAGAAATCAGCACTAGATGTCGACTGTTATGTCTATACTCTGCTTCATCAGATATATATATATATATATATATATATATATATATATATATATATATATATATATATATATATATATATATATATATATATATGTATATATTTTCTTTCTTTCTTCGTTTAATGATAATTTTATTAAGCTTATCAGACGTTTTGAAAAGAATTTACATAAAATAAATAGACAACACTTGTCTATATTATTTAATGAAACATGTATAAATGAAAAAAATGCTGCCTAAAT